GGTATAGTTTTTTTCTATTTTTCACCCACTTATCAAAAACGAACGTGCTTTGAAAGTCGTGCAGTACCGTATTCGTGAATATTGACCGTAACCGCTGACGAAAACTTTTGCGTGCGTCTGGTTTTGAATGAAACTTAATATGACACGCTTTTCGCGCTTGCTGATATTCCGCACAAGTAGTGAACTTCTTGCGTTGTCGACGGCTTAAAGAAGAATGCCGAAGCCCGAATAACTGCTGGAGTTGCTCCGGCCCCTATTTATACCTTCTGGATCCTTCTTGTTCGTGTTGAGGTTGAGCCCTTCGATTAGGATCGACTGTGGCGGACCAAACTAGTGCGATCTCCGATGGGCCGAAGAACGGCACCGGGTCATCGTCAAACCGACCTGGTCCTCCTCGTTTCTCAGAAACTTCCGAAATCGTATTCTTTCTCAGGGTGGTTGTTACTCTCTATGTACCGACAATACAAGGCTTCGACTTTGACACGAAAGTTAGGTCGCCAAATGGTCGATTGAAAAGTAATCGTTTGTCTTCGAATTTTTGGTAATTTATTTGATAATTTGATGCTCATGTATTTGTTGTCCAAATTATAATTATTCAAGGGTTAAATTTAACGTCTTCTTCTACGTAAGCGTAATTTATTCATAATTTTGGTTTACGGTTTTTATACAAATTTGCGGAATTACGTAAAACTAGTGTTAAATTCTGGTTTTTCAAACTGATACCCCTACATGGTCCACTCCATACAAAACGGTTCTTTCGCTCCCATCTATTTATTTTGCTATTAATAACAGTCTGTCAGTCTGCCAGAGCTAATTCCTGGAAAACGTCTTAAGGCATGAACCAATCATTTATTACTATAGAATTATCATATTTCCGAAATAATGGGGCTCTTTAAAATTTATTACCACTGAAAATAAGAATGATATATTTTTTTAAAACTACGTTGCTTGAATGTTTTCTGCAGATACAAAAAATTTTCTTTTTAAATTCGATACTAGACATTAATGTGATTATATTTTTACTTACTCGTAAAGTTATTTAAAAACGCTTGCCTTTTTGTGCATTTAATTTTATTAATTTATTACGTGTTGTACGTGAATAATTATTTCGTTCCTACTTAATTGATTTATATTTAACATTTATTCATTATTTATTATAATTGGTCTACAATTTTATATTCTATACGGACCACGTATTATTGGAACAATAACAGGACAAGTAGGTAATTGAATTCTATTTAATGTTTCACATCAAAACTGTCTATTAATTAGTTAATGTAGAAGAGACCGAGACTGGCTTTTTATTGCCTGATTGATAGGTTTGGAAGTGCTGTATAATAGATTAACATACTAGAGTAGACCACGTACAGTGTGAGGTAATAATTTTGTTGATATCTTGTTGTTGATTGGAGCGTTCCGTAAAAATCACGTTTTTGACGTGACAACATCTTATAATTCGATGGAGCCCGGCTGCACGCATGAAAAAACATGACTCATGCGGCGTTACCTCGCTCTGAGGCGTTCCATTTAAGGCTTGAAGTGCAAGCGAGAGCGCGGAACGAGCGACAAAGAGGCACAATCGGCCTCCGCGTTCGGCAGCGTTCGACATCTGTCTCTC